ATATGCTTTAAATAAAAATAATAATGTGCGATATGAACTAGCACAATTCTAAAGCTTTAACGGTGACGACAGTTATGATGTTACAAGAACGATTGCGTCAATAAGAATTCCAAATAAACAGCACTGAACGATCTAAATTTGTAAATATTTCAAATTTGACAACGGTAGAGTAGTTGCAACAGAGTCTGTGTATTTAAACATCGCAAACAAACGGCCGTTAAAATATAATAATAAATTTTGACTAAGGTTAACTAGTTGAACGTGGCTTGGTACTTTTACATCCCTCAAAAAATTAAGCAATTTAAATTGTATATTCAACAGATTTATTTTAGAGATGAGTAAGGTAAAGAAATAGAAACAGAGACTGTAATAAAAAGTAATACAACCCAAATGTGAAGCACTGCATGGAGTCGAACTACATCTTTTCATTTATCCCATTTGGTGCCAAAGTTGTTAATTTTCTTATCCAAAATCTTTCCCGAGTGAGTCTATCCTCCCTAGACCAAGCAGAGTTGTGGTCAATGATTGTAATGGTCAGTCGATTGAGATCTGCCTTAGTGTGGCCAGGGGATCTCAAATGTCGACTGAGAGGGAGGTCTGGCTTGCATTGGTAGTCGCTACGATGACCGTTCATTCGTTTGTGAAACGGCTGTTCTGACTCGCCAACATACTGTTTACCACATTTACACTGTAGGAGATACACAACATTTGTAGTCTTGCAATTAACATTGCAAAATATGGTGTATTCTGTACCAGTGGAGTGACTGTTAAAAGTCTGGGTAACCAGTATTTGTTTGCAAGTCAGACATCGTTTGTTTCCGCAACCTTTGCAAGAGCCCACAGACGAAGAGCCTGCTTGAGAGGATAAATCAGCTCTCACCAGCAAGTCTTTAAGGCTTTTGGGCCTACGGAAAGCCAGTACAGGTGGCTCGGGAAAGATCTTGGATAGTTTAGGATGTTTTTCGATTTCTTTCCAATTTTCGCGGATTAGGTGAGATAAGTTGTCAAATTTAGGATGGTAAGTCAACACAAAAGGCACCCTCCTGTTGACCTTTTTGACTTTATATTGTAAAAGTTCATCTCGGCTGATGTTGTTAGCACGAGAAAAACCTTTATCAATGTCTTTTCTTTTGTAGCCCCGATGTTTTAGGTGACCGCGAAGTTCTTGTAGTCGTTTTTTTGCAATATCGTTGGTGGAGCAAATCCTTTTTATTCGTATGGCCTGGCTGTAGGGAATGCTCTTGGTGCAATGTTTAGGGTGACAACTCAAAGGAGATAGATATTGGTGTTTGTCTGTGGGCTTGCAATACAGATCTGTAAATATGTTTCCATCCCTCACTTGCGTTGTAGTGTCAAGAAATGTGATCTTAGAGTCAGAGATTTCATATGTGAATTTTATTGAGGGATGGGCATCGTTGGCATGTTGAATGAATAAATTTAGTTCTTGTTCAGTATTATCCCACTTCATGTCAATATCATCGATAAATCGGAACCAAGAGAGGGGTTGATAAAGAGAAGAATTGAGAATTCTCTGTTCTAATTTCCCCATAAAAATATTGGCATAAGACGGGGCCATCTTTGTTCCCATTGCTGTTCCATTAACTTGGAGAAAGTGTTCACCATTGAATGTGAAGTTATTGCATTGTAATACCAAAGTTAGAAGCTGGATGAGACATTCAGTCGGTGGATGTAAGGTGTTACGGAGGGAGGTACCTCCCTCTATACTAACATCCCCCATGACGATGGTATTGAAGCCTGTAGGGAAGTCTGGAACTCTCGTAACACCTTACATCCACCGACTGAATGTCTCATCCAGCTTCTAACTTTGGTATTACAATGCAATAACTTCACATTCAATGGTGAACACTTTCTCCAAGTTAATGGAACAGCAATGGGAACAAAGATGGCCCCGTCTTATGCCAATATTTTTATGGGGAAATTAGAACAGAGAATTCTCAATTCTTCTCTTTATCAACCCCTCTCTTGGTTCCGATTTATCGATGATATTGACATGAAGTGGGATAATACTGAACAAGAACTAAATTTATTCATTCAACATGCCAACGATGCCCATCCCTCAATAAAATTCACATATGAAATCTCTGACTCTAAGATCACATTTCTTGACACTACAACGCAAGTGAGGGATGGAAACATATTTACAGATCTGTATTGCAAGCCCACAGACAAACACCAATATCTATCTCTTTTGAGTTGTCACCCTAAACATTGCACCAAGAGCATTCCCTACAGCCAGGCCATACGAATAAAAAGGATTTGCTCCACCAACGATATTGCAAAAAAACGACTACAAGAACTTCGCGGTCACCTAAAACATCGGGGCTACAAAAGAAAAGACATTGATAAAGGTTTTTCTCGTGCTAACAACATCAGCCGAGATGAACTTTTACAATATAAAGTCAAAAAGGTCAACAGGAGGGTGCCTTTTGTGTTGACTTACCATCCTAAATTTGACAACTTATCTCACCTAATCCGCGAAAATTGGAAAGAAATCGAAAAACATCCTAAACTATCCAAGATCTTTCCCGAGCCACCTGTACTGGCTTTCCGTAGGCCCAAAAGCCTTAAAGACTTGCTGGTGAGAGCTGATTTATCCTCTCAAGCAGGCTCTTCGTCTGTGGGCTCTTGCAAAGGTTGCGGAAACAAACGATGTCTGACTTGCAAACAAATACTGGTTACCCAGACTTTTAACAGTCACTCCACTGGTACAGAATACACCATATTTTGCAATGTTAATTGCAAGACTACAAATGTTGTGTATCTCCTACAGTGTAAATGTGGTAAACAGTATGTTGGCGAGTCAGAACAGCCGTTTCACAAACGAATGAACGGTCATCGTAGCGACTACCAATGCAAGCCAGACCTCCCTCTCAGTCGACATTTGAGATCCCCTGGCCACACTAAGGCAGATCTCAATCGACTGACCATTACAATCATTGACCACAACTCTGCTTGGTCTAGGGAGGATAGACTCACTCGGGAAAGATTTTGGATAAGAAAATTAACAACTTTGGCACCAAATGGGATAAATGAAAAGATGTAGTTCGACTCCATGCAGTGCTTCACATTTGGGTTGTATTACTTTTTATTACAGTCTCTGTTTCTATTTCTTTACCTTACTCATCTCTAAAATAAATCTGTTGAATATACAATTTAAATTGCTTAATTTTTTGAGGGATGTAAAAGTACCAAGCCACGTTCAACTAGTTAACCTTAGTCAAAATTTATTATTATATTTTAACGGCCGTTTGTTTGCGATGTTTAAATACACAGACTCTGTTGCAACTACTCTACCGTTGTCAAATTTGAAATATTTACAAATTTAGATCGTTCAGTGCTGTTTATTTGGAATTCTTATTGACGCAATCGTTCTTGTAACATCATAACTGTCGTCACCGTTAAAGCTTTAGAATTGTGCTAGTTCATATCGCACATTATTATTTTTATTTAAAGCATATATTTGAACTCTCTGTTGTAATTAGTCATATAACCTATGTCGTGTTTAACACATATTTAGAATTGTGCAAGCGTCTTACCTGATGTTCGGTTTGACATTTTTATTGTATAAATTTCAAGATTTGTATAGTTTAATCTAAGTAGACTGATAAATGATTCATTCAACATCACAATCATATTTACTGATGAAGGATATCTGTTATCCGAAATATTTATAAATAATTACATTTATAGTTCCTTTTTTTGTTATTGGTGTTGTTGTGTACACTTTTTAGGCGTTTCTATATATATATATATATATATATATGTAATTTTATGTCGTAATTACGAGATAATTTTCTCGTAATTACGCGATAGTTATCTCGTAGTTACACGATAATTATCTCGTAATTACGAGATAAAAAATGATTATCTCGTAATTACGCGATAGTTTTCTCGTAATTACGCGATAATGATCTCGTAATTACGCGATAGTTTTCTCGTAATTACGAGATATTTATCTCGTAATTACGAGATAAATATTTTTTTTTTTTGTGACCCTAATAGGCTTTCGTAACATGATGACACACGTTTCCACAATAAAGTGCACAGGTAAATAAAAGAAAAAAATGATAGTAATCGTGTTTTCATGATCAAAGCGAAAAAATGTAATTATAAGTATTGAATGCTTCTTTTAGTAATTTCATAGGGTTGTAAAAGCGTTGACCGTGCGCACATTTTTAGAATTTTTATATGTAAGCCATTCATCGTTTTCCGGTATATCAAGGATTTATATAGTATAGGCATCCTTGTGTATATGAATGATTTTTTTTGTGGGCCGAAGTGGCGGATCCAGAAATTTTCATAAGTGGGGGCCCACTGATTGCCTAAGAGGGGGCCCGCTCCAGTCATGCTTCAGTGATTTCCAATATAATCAACTAAATTTTTCCCTCAAAAAGGGGGGGGGGGCGGGCCCCCTGGCCCCCTAAATCCGCCTCTGGGCCGAACTTCAGTCAATGAAATAATTCTTTCTTGTAGCGCCCTTGTTTCACTTTTCAATGTTTTAAAGTTTCTTTTTTTTTTAACTTGACGTACCTAGCTTTATTAATATACGTAACCTATCTCCAGCTAAGGGACAAATTAAAGGTTGCATGAATACGGGATCGAGGGAGATAGATTTGTTGAATTGAAAGCAAATAAAATACATCAGTGATGTGTTTGATATAATTTTGACAAAATTGAACCATATCAAGTGACTATATTCCGCTTCAAGTTAAAATTTATAACTGACTAAGTTTTGGAACAAAAAAATCATGTAATTATCTATTTTTTAATCGTAGCTGATGCTTCTTTAAATGATCTGGAAGCTGAGCTACTGTGTAGAAATCTTTGTATACCGAAAATTGCATAATTAGTAAATTCTGGGGTGTCCAAAGTTAATAACTACACTTTGACAGAAGGATCCAAAATATTCCCGAACTTTTTTTAACGCAAGCGCGGTGTGCATTTCACGTGGTACAGTGGACCAATCGTATCATTTCGGTCATTGTCGCCGCCAAGCTCGGATTCTCAGGAAAAGATCCGATACACAAAACATTCCTTGCATGTTCAACAGACTTAGATTTGATAGCTAACTGGCATGTTCTAACTTTATCGCCAATCTTCAAAATGACATATTTGAAACTTTGCAGTCGTATGCATGCAGAATTCTCTAACTTTGCAGCACATTCCAAGGACCGAAAAGTTTCTGTGGACGCCATTTTGTCATTGGGAGATACAAGACCCTTGATTTATTGAGATAATATTGACTAAACAGACTATTTTTTGCTTGAAGAGAGACATAAACATTATATTTGTACATTCAGGGATGGATATTTTGCAGTAGATATTCGGAAAAATGGCGAATTCCAATACAACACTGGCCAGTTTGTGGATGGATGATGGTAAATTTTCCCTCGAATTATCCCCCTTGTTTCAAAAAGAATCCTCGTGCTCTTTTGTTTATGGCAATATAAACAATGTCATTCTATATTACTTGAAAGAAATAAAGCCTTTTTTTAAATTTCTTAAACCAAGAACAGGGACAGTGATGTAATTTTGTCAATCCGCTTATATCCGGATATTCAAAAAATGTAAATAAAAAGGTTTTAAAAAAAGGGGGTATGGGTACAGTTTTAGGAATTAGAATTATTTCAGATGAACTATCAAAAGGTAAATCACACAATTACAAACTTGCATAGAACAGCTACAAATATGATGACCAGTAACTTGGACAAGGAAGCAGAAGACAGAACATAATCAATTTAGAAGGCAGGGTCAAATATGCTCCCTACTACAGGATTTTATATACCCAGTGCTAACTGTACTAGGCATACTGGGATATCCTGTCTTGTCTAGTTCCTTCACTTTTCTAGGCTACCCAAAGGGATATTGTGACATGTCGTCCTGATGTTCTAGAAGACAATTTTTAAGTAAAGAAAATGAAAGATATATTTGTAATATAGAAATAAGAAGATGTGGTATGGTTGTCAATGAGAACTCTCCACGAGATATATAGAAGTTAATAACTATAGGCCACTGTACGATCTTCAACAATTAGCAAAACCTATACCGCATAATAAGCTTTAAAAGACCCTGAAATGACCAATGTAAACAATTCAAACGAGAAAACTAACGGCCTGTTCATGTTCAAAACTAACTAAAAAACAAATATTATATATATACATGTAGCAGCAAATAACAACAAGCTACTGATTTGGGACAGGCTCATACAGAATATGGCAGGGTTAAACATGTTTGCTAACCTGTAAAACATTTTATTTTTGGTGGAAGAAGATTTTCTATCTTCCGGAATCCAATATTGCTGTATGGTCTAAGTATAAACATAGACCTTTCCAGGAGTGTTTCTGTACCCCTTTCTGTGCTTGACAATTTTACAACTTACATGCCTCATCTCGAACACAAATTTGTAGACATAATCGGCAACAAATTTGTAAATACAAATGTACAGTCAGTCTGCAACGTTAAGCCTGAATTTCCCTGTCTAGTAAAAATCTCATCGGACTTGTGCAGAAGCACTGGTGATTCCCCGATTGGTCTAGTGATCATCTGAAATTGTTTGCAAAATTGTAGCCGGTATTTTATTGAAAACACGTTACAAATTTTTCGCTGACCTTGTTTTTATCAGGTATCCCTATTTTATTTTATATGGGTTTGTTACTAATCAAAGGGAACCAGTCGTCAACACAATATACCTAATTAACAACGAAATCGAGAATGAGGCTCGACCATGTGCTTGCAATAAACACAATCTATAAATACCACTCATTGTAAACAAACAATCAAGGATTCGATCTCATTGGATGCTGAAATGGAAACTGGGGGCTATCCCAGGTTAAACATTGAAAAGTTGAAAAGGCCTACACGAATACCCGGAGAAGTTTCAAGTTGAAAAAAGCTATGCAGAAAAACAATCTAGGCATTTTTAATTTTTACAATATTTTGTGCTCTAGTGTGCTTCCATGCAATTAAGATAGCTTCAGATATTGCAGTTTCTTAGATATGACTATCATATATAATAATCTAAATAAGTGATCACAAGAAAACGTGATATGAATTATCAATTTTTGTCTCTATCATGACCTGTTTAATAAACTGCAGCCTTAGAGTTAAACAACATTAACGGAAGTGGCAAATTATGAAGGAGGGTGTGGATGGGGGTTTACAGAATAGAGAAAAATGGGCAAAAAAAATAAAGAGTACTTTAACCTTTAATGGTTTACTTTTACAAATGTGACTTGGATGGAGAGTTGTCTCATTGGCACTCATACCACATCTTCTTATATCTTAATATTTAAGACTAATAAAAATATGAAAGAATATGAAGAATAAATAGCTTTTGCATAACAATGTATCACCTACAAAACGTGATTGGTTAATCGTTCCATTTTCAAGGCCACTAGCCTGACACCCGGGACTAGAGAATTTACCCCTCTGGCAATCAAAACTTGAAACCCAATATGCCCGACGGACTAGTAACAAAAAATTGGCGTCATCAAAGTAAAAAGTGGAAAATCCCTTCCTCGCTATTTTATTTTAGCCAATCAGATTCAATTACGTCATCCAGGATTCCAAGAATTTGAACTGATTTTGTACATGTTTTAAAAATAGGATAAATAACTGGGTGGACCGGTACCAGTATCATGTATTGATCGCAATTCCCGTACTTTCAATATAAATTTCTCAGTACACGGGGTATTGTACATTGCTTATGTCGAGATTTTCAATTAACAGTACGGGGGGGTATGATGCAGTGATCAATATTGACCTGTCTTGTCGGACAGCTGTTTAGCAGGAAACCGTGCAACAGACCAACCCAAACATCGTCGGACCGCAGGTCATGACCTGTAAAAAAATTGAAGGTCCGCCACCATCCTGTGAACTACAGGACCTCCTGTCCTGTACATATTTTGAAGCATGCAGTATTAAAATTGGGAAAAATGTGTTGCTATATCAAACACAAAATATTGTTTTCCTCCCGAGATTAATGAAAAACAATTGTCCTTATACTAATTAGGATCTCGGAAATACCCTAGTCATATTTAAAGATATATATGGGCAACACAAATAGTAACCCAATCAGAATGCAATAATATAAAAAGCAGCCAATGAAACCACGCTTCCATTGACACACGGCGAGATTTTCTTGTCAACTATTTTATGCATTCCCTGAAAATTGGCATTTCTAATGTGACTTCTTTTTTTAAAAAACATATTATAAGACGATTTTAAGGCTCACTGGCTTTTCCCTTACTGCCCAACCCTTTCAATTTGAATATTTTGAAGATTTTGTATCTCGATGCGTCAGTTTCCGGCATTTCTTTTTCCCCCGGTTCATTATGCATGTGCCTGAAACACGTTAAATAAAGTCTTAAAAAATGAAGTTTGTTTCAATGTGATTAAACATGCAAAAGTGTAGTACCAGATAGTAGTTTTGGTTACTTCATTTATCATAGTCAAAGCACTCAGAATGCAGGATTTTGCATCTAATTTTTCAAAATTTTTCAGGGAGGGGGGGCATGCCCCCAGCAAGTTCGCAGCCTTTCGCACTGCTCACCGATGATAATAAGTAGGTCCTGTAACAGCAATGAAGGTCCAGTAAAAAATATTTGTTACCGGACCTCCTGACCTGTTAAAACAATATAAGTTTGGCTGGGTCTGGTGCAACATAATATAGTTCTACATATTTTAGTATGGGCACCCCAGGAACTTCGCCAGTTTCAAAACGAAAAACGGTAGATGAAGGAGTAATGAGGCTGAAAATTCATCCCCCAAAAAATGCCAAATATGACCGAAAATAGCGAAATGATCATTTATAGTGTCATGGACAGAAAGATTCCCCTGGGGAACGTCGACTGTTGTTGAATGATGATAAACTAGAGATGATGTTTTGTGAATATTGAAGTTATTTTCCCAATCACTCTAATAAAAAGTTAAGATCCTTGTTATAATTAATAAAACAAAAAATTATTTGATTTTTATTAAATACAGTGTATAATGTCACTTTCAAAACAAGGGACACCCACTTTGTATTATGCACCAAACTCTGAATTTGTATGGCATACTCAGGTTAGCAGGTCAGTTTTGCTGGGCTAGCAGTTCTTCCATCAAGGCTAGTAAAATCCTGCTACCAATAAGTCCTGGGCTAGTGAGCTGTAACATAATTTTTTAACCCCTGCATTTTGGTGTTTCATCCTGACACACGTGTTTTGTTTTATAATTAGCTAAGATACTTCAAACATTAATGTGATGGATATATTTAACAGTAGTTTACTAAAGGATGAAACTCTTTTAATTTCAAATTAGAATTCTAATGATATCTTTTAAGTACAGGTTTTCTGCACACTCGCACCACATTTATTTTTAGTCGCCTACCGACAAAGTCGAAGGGAACTTTAGGTTTGCACTCCGTCAGTCTGTCTGTCCATCTGTCAGTCCGGCAAATCAGTTTTCCACACTTTTTTTCTTCGTGCTTGAAGATATTGATATGATATTTGGTGTATTGTTTTATTATGACAAGTTACAGATCAAGTTCGAATTTTGTTCCGGTCTGATGATTTTGTGCAGAGTTATGGTCCTTGGACTTAGAAAATTCACTTTAATAATCAGTTTTCAATTCTTTTTTTTCATCATTTTTGACGATGTTGACTTGATATTTGTTATATAGTTAACACCATGACAAGTTATAGATCAAGTTAGCATTTTGTTCCAATACAATGAATTTTTAACCGGTAGTGGACTATGTATTGCCATGCAATACTCTCAGAATGCTTGTTGATTTAACTTTCCCAATTGTTTTTTAGTGATTCTGACTTTTCTTAACTCTCGCGGTGTGTTCTTAAATCATTTACAAGCATTTTTAACTTCTACTTGATGATGATAAACAGAGTTTTCCATGAAAATGCATCAAATGATCACACACAATTTAAAATAATCAGTTTCAGTATCTGTCTTCTTGGCTCTCATGATCATGATACAGTATGACCCGGGACATTCTCAGTCCAGATCATTAGATGATAAAAATTTGAAATGTCTGACTTAATTATGTTGTGATTAATTATGATATAGTCCAAATAATTATGATGTCTTGAAAGGCTATTTTAATTTTTTGCTGTGATGCCTTCCTATATATATGATGTCATAAAGCTGAAGCCATTTTTTCGTTAGACTTCTGAGAGAGAATTTCTTCTCAACTCTGAGACCCAATTGTGCCATGAAATCTCGCTGACGGCTAGAAATTTTAGCATATATACAAATTCTTACCTTTTTGTGCTTGTAAGTGCAAAATATTTCCAGAAATTTCCAAGAGTAATGAAAAAATAAGTTATAATTCCATCCGAGGTTGGCAATAATCTACTGCTTTTTAAAACGTTTCCCTGATTTC